TAATATAAGATGAAACAGTTGTTCCAACCTTGAATTCTTTGTACAGATCCAAATGCTTGTCTCTGAACTACTTGATAAGTTTCTTTTGTGACGCTGTTTGCATTTTGGCTTTTGCTAGTCTATAACTTGTCCCTGATGATCTGACTCCAACACTAAATGTCTCCATATATGATTGTTTATTATTTCCCAGCTCAGTCATTGCTGCTGTCGTTACAGACATTGCTGTTGTCCGGTATCCTGTTGTCGTTTGAATGCAGAAGAAAGCTGTGCCTCGTTGAAATGTGGGTCAAACCAAATGATTGATGAGGAGCTATTCTGTGTCACTAAATCTATGAACTCGGCCTACAGCGGAGGTGAAATTTCCCATGACAGTTAAAGTACACAAGATTAAATGAGCTGTGTAGTGTAGTCCATCATATTTTGTCTCCTATAATCTACTTTCAGACTCTTAGAAGCCTACAAACTCATGGTCAAATTCACATTTACGGGAAGAATTAGCTCAGATTCCAGTTTGCAACTCAGGCCAACAGAAGAACCATCTCATACATAGGAGGAACAAGGCAAAAATTCTAACCTTTTCTACATTTTCTTCTCAACCACTGAGCCACCATGAAAAAAAAAATTAGGCAGGTGAAGGTGCCTTTACAAAAATGACTTCCACCTTCTATGCCATCACTACAACCGCTTCCTTTAGAGGTGTCAGGTAACGCGACTGCTGACGAGTCTCACCTGTGATAAGGTTGCAGCTCTTGAAGGTAAGGGTGAGCTCCTCGGGGTACTTGTAGACAGAATACCAGACTGAGTATCCCTCGCGGTCGAAGTGCTCCCAGAAGTGGGGAATGGCTACTGTCAGGGTGTCCTCATTGGAATATTTTCTCTTGAACTCGTCCATGACAAATGCACTATAAAGAAAGAAAAGAAGAAATGCTAGGAAAAAATACAGCACATACAGTACATGCAAGGTCGAGAGAATTAGAGCGAAATTAGGTTTTGCAAAAGGACCTATGTACTCACTTGTATAGGGATAGTTGCTGACTGAACAGGACTACATTAGAGTGCTTATAAGTCAAGGGACAATACCCCAAACTAAAGCAGTGGCGTTTACCAAAACACCCTACTGCATCTTTACCATAAGAATTTCTAAATATCCTGTAGAGTTTGGAGGTTCACTCTCATTTGTGCCCATAGCATGAACCAGCCTTTTACTCACTGAATCAGAGTTGACTGGGATGAATATGGTCTTGACTTTTTCTTCCCCTGTCAGATTAAGACGTGGTGCCATGACTGGACACTGCCTTGCCCAATGACAGGGGAACATGCATTTTCCCCACAAAATAAAATTTTCTAATTGGAAAACAGGCTTGTTACTATCTAACAGATGGTCTGAACACCACACGTCTGGCACTATGAGATTCAATGTTCAATATGCCATCAAACGCCCCAAATGCACCACGGAGAAGCAGTCTTCACTCATTGATCAGCATTCCTTTCAAGCTCAGGGGAAGTACTCGGGGAAAATAATCTGCCACGGTGATTAGCTGCAAACAACACTTGCAGACGACTGACTCTCCATGTCACACAGTTGTAGTGCCGAATAAGAAAGTGAACCTAAAAGTGAAAGTTCTTAATGACAGAAGTTCATTATACCTCTTTGGCAAGTGTGCAAAGGGGTCCTTGGCTTTGGGCTCTGCAGCCAAGACAGCATCACAGTCGTCCATTTCCTCTTCTGCAGCAGGCTTCTTCTCTTCCTTTTTCTTCTCTTTCTTCTCCTGGGGCTTGGCTGCCTCCTTTCCTCCCTTCTCTTTCTTGGGTGGGGCCTCCTTCTTGGGCTGCATCTCAGCAAATTTCTTGGCTGGAGTAACAGAACAAAACAATAAAAAACATGTTTAAAGTAAAATGATCCAAATATTCGTCTTTGTTTTTGCAATCTCTGGAACCAAACTCCTGCTGGGTTTCGGAGCTTAACTGTTAAACATTTCAAGAAAGCTGAAAGTTGTTTAAGTGATTTGCTCCTGAAATTATACACCATTTTATTAAGATTACGTCATTTCAATAGTTGTGTTCAGGCCAAAGAGCAAATAACTTACATTTTAGGAGAAGACATTTAAATTGAATTCAGATTTTCCCAAAATGAACACAAACAACAGCTCAAGCTACTATTTAGACACTTTAGTGCTACGCAAAAGACCAGTTTTGCAGAACAAATGGGTAAGTAAAAACCCAAGTTACACAGCTATTTTACTGTATATCTATGCACTCCTGCGATCAATTAGTATGTGTGACAAAAGGCACGTATTTGTCTAATTTCAGCTTTTAAGTTTCCCAGGATGCTCCAGCAACCAGCCTTTTGATATGCATGCCTTCTGTTCTCGTTGCTGGTGACTCACCATCAAACTGGGCCATCTTTTCGCACAGTTTAACTTCCCCGAGGACAGCCTTGAACTGGGGCTGGTTGACACAGGTGACAAACCAGCGGGTCACATTGGAATAAGGCTGACGGAAAGAAGGCTCAAGGACCTGAAGGGGAAAGAGAGGTAATTAGGGCCATTTGAAGAGCATCTCAACTTAAATCATTGCACAGATTATGTGTTGCTGTAATACATTGAAGTACTCGGCAGTGTGTGTGGCTGTTTGTGCAACTTATCTAATGTGTGCATGTCACACCTGTTTGTAGAGCCAGAGCATGGAGCAGACCACAGTGATGTCAGCAAGGCTGACCCTCTCCCCCACGAGGAAGGTACGGGTGTTCAGGTGTTGGTTCAGAACTGCAAGGGCCCTCTTCACGTCCTCCTTGGCTTGCTCTGTGGCCTGCACAGATCCAGACAGAAAAACGACTCTGTAAGATTACACAACAAGAAGTCTACTGTGTAGTTTAGTACCCCAACAAGAGAGTGTTGTCCTCTGGCTAACTGACTTCCATCACAGCTACTAAACGATAACTGAAGTTTTGATTTTGACCAGAAAACATCAAGCTGCCCACCTGCTTGTTGAACTGCATGATTCCCAGAGTGGGGAAGACCCATGCACTGGCCGGAGGGATAATCTCTGAGTCAGCGAAGCTCACCCACTGCAGGATCTGGGCTGCTGCCTGAGGAGTGGCACCACGCAGGGCATCATTGCTCACTGCAGTTGGAAAGCAGACGATTCTTTTTCAAAAATCAGTTTAAAAAATGGAGTATGTGTAAATAAGAGGAAAAAGAGGTTTTCACTGGACAAACTCCTTATTTCAGCTTTATTGTTAACTGAAATTACAAACACAACTTAAACCACTTTCACCCAGTTGCACTGACTCTACTCCCTTTAAGCTGTTTTGTAACCTAAATACATAATGTGCCTGGATGATGCCCAAACAGAGTGTACAAGACCCAAAGCATTTATTAATTATTAAATGTGAGACTTACGGTAGTGAGCAATGGCATTACTCTCAAACAGACAGAAGCCGTCATCTCCCTGGTAGGCAGGTACCTACAAACAACAACAGAATTGCAGACTAATTTTATACATTTAGTATGTGCACATTCAGAGAATCAAGCAGTGCCTTAACAGAGGTGGTGCAGTCACACTGTTGAAGCCCAAAGCGACAAATGATTAATGAGTGCACTTGAACTGAACGACTTAACCCAATTCACATGAAAAAGGAGGTTCTACAAGCAGCCTGTGATTGCAAAGCAGGACTGATCCCACTTCACCTGATAAACCAGTTCCACTTACCTTGCCCAGTGGGAAGTTGCTAAGGAAGGCAGGACTGCGGTTCGTCTGCCCGAAGGTGAAGGCAGGGGAGCTGCTGACAACTTTGAGGCGAGCGCCACTGTACTGGGCTGCAACCTGGGCCTTGAAGGCCCGCCAGTTCTCTGGGTACGTGTACAGAGTCTGAAAGGAAGGGAGACAAAACTCCAATTATAGACAAAGAAACACATTTAGAAGAACTAATTTTAAACATACATGTGCACCATATTTGGAAGGAGAATACTTAAACACTGGGTTGGCCAAAGAATGTCAATGGAGTGGTTCAGTATTTTACTAATGTATATAAACTGTCCCAAAACCGTTTAGTCATTTTGCACAACTGTAGAGCCTTTGGAACATATTGAAATGACTACATAAAATCTCCAAACCAGTTGGGAGCTAGCTTAGACTTGTAGTGCTCTTGACACAAACTATGCTAGATGCTCAGATATTTACAAAACAAGAATTTATCTGGATAAAACTGGGAAACGTCAGCAAAGAAAATTGTAATACATGCTGGCCAGCACGGCCAAAATGAGCATTTATAACCAACTCTTAGCAATAAATGAGCTACGTTCACGTGGCTAGCAATTTGGTTTAAAAGGCCAACTAGCTATAATTTTTGCTAATATGCGCAGAGTTTTGGAGGTTTAGACACTAACCTCAAACACAGGCCACACTAAGGACTAAGTAAACTGGTGTTCAAAGTTCATTTAAGGCGAAAAGCATCAGAAACGTAACAATACGTCCACACAGGATGAGATAGCTGTGGTAACGTGGCACAACCCTGAGCTAGAAAAGCGGCGTCATTCAGTTCCAATGCATCGTCAGGATAGCCGGAGCTAACCTCCGCTACAATGACCAGTGAATGAAATCCTTTGTAAATAAACCCTAAAACAACCGCTAAACAACCAGAGGACCTTGTCTACGAGCAAAACTACTCAGTAGGAGTGCAGATGGGACAGATTTTAAGCGGATTGCAGCAACAAAGTTTAAAGAAAGCTCCATAGCTCGTCATCTCTCCATCTTACTCACCCCTGCCGCCATCTTCAGGACGAGAGAAAGAAAGAACGACGGCGCGCTTCACTGACGTATTTACGGCCAGGCGACGTGCGCGTCCTTGTAATTTCCGCGTTCACATACCCCTTTGTGTTTTTTCACATTTCAAAACATTTTTATCTGACATCAGAATTTAAACTACATAAGTACAGTTGCAGTAGATCAATAGTTTGCATAGATATTAGCATACTGTGACGGACAAGCATAGAAAGATGTAAAAACAAATAAAATGCTTTATTACCATTCACATACAAAAAAAGCAATATGTGGAAATGAATGAGAAAGAAACTAAGTTACTTCTCCATTAGAAATCATGTCCTACACTTGTTTTAACTCTTACAACAGTTTCAAAAAAAAAAAAAAAACTTAGTCTGAACATAATAATAAATTGAGGTGGTTATGGGGCTTCATCATCTGCCCCGATACCATATCAGAGTAGAAAAATATTAATTTTAACAAAAGGATTCCTGCCAAATGTCTTCCTCCGGAGCAAATCAGCTTACAAGACCTGCAAATAAAGCACAGAAGGCAAATTCAATGATCACAAGACAACAGTAAAAAGTTTTATAAACAGTACAGTAAATCTTCCAGAGCAACTACCATAATGATATTGAAGTAAAAAAAAAAAAATCTGTTTTGTCAAAATAGGAATTACATATTCTCTATCGTAAAGAAAAAAACATGTACTTCTATCAAGCATCTCTATTATGAGCGACCTGTATGCATTTTTTTTTGCAGTCTAATACTCACCCAGATAGTCGTCCATGAGAGATCCAATGGCAAACTAAAAAGAACAAGTGGAAAGCTTGTCTTTAATTTAGTGTAAAATAACACACAGTAAGTCACTTGTATAAAGTACGAGGTAACATTTAAGATACAGTGACACATATTTCCTCTTATTTTTGCCTATGACAAAGTGACACTTACAATGTCATTTTTGTCCACTCTTGTTCCTACAATCTTCAGTCGGATCTCATCATCTTGCTGGATTACAATGTCCTTGAAAATAAGAGAAGAAAAATCAATTTTAATGCAAGACTGAGGAACAGTAAGCAAACAGCAGTTAGTAGCATCCCAACTACTTTGTATACAGAATTTACAATTAAGTTCTACCCTTTCTTTTAATCATGTGTACATTTGTTTTAGTTCCTGAAAAATACTCCAGTTAACACTCATTGTAGCTTCCTGAATGTTTACAAAAAGTGTATTTAACTCTAATAATAAAAGTTGTGAAAGGTAAAGCAAGGAAATGCATTTTATTAAACACCTAATCATGCAAATAAGAAACAATGAATATTTATTACCTCATCGACTGTCTTATAACAAGGTGGATTGGAATTAGGGTCGAACTCCATTTCTGAGGGGATGGACTGCAAAAAGAAATTTGACACATAAATAAATAAATACAATACAATACAATACAATACAAATTAAAGAGTGCATCCAAAGCAACTATGTCTGTCCAACTACAGATGTTAAGCTGACTCACATGGCGAGAGATGAAGCAAGACATGGGACCAATTTCTGTGAACAATCCAACCTGCAAGACACAGAGGGAAGGTGTAATTAGGATAAGGAACAAATGAATGCTTTCGATTACCTCATATTCAATATAAAACAACTACAAAGTCATACAATATTCAGTGGAAACATATTTACTGTAACAAAGTCCAAGCTATGCTCTTATACAATAGAGAATTTCAGAAACAATACACGTGCCAATATAAAATTGTACAAAGTACAGAAGTTTTTGTACAATTATTATGCTATGCATACGCCTTGGTGACTACTTGATTCATCAGAAAACCTTATGCAGACATGAATTTGGTTATGCAAATGACAGTTACAATAGTGGGAAAGGTAGATGTGGCGGCAAGCTATTTGGACAGACCACAATGGATATCAAAACACTGTCATCATAAAAGAATTATGTTCTAGCTTAAAACCACAATGTAAACTTGTGCAGTTGTTCACCTTGTTAACCTGAGTGACCACAGCATCCACTACTTCTCCTTTAAAGGGGCGGAACACAATGGCCTTGTACTTGACTGGATAGAGGACAAACCCTCTGCCTGGCTGGATTACACCTGCTCCGATGTTGTCAATGGTGGTAACTGCAATGACGAAGCCATACCTGAAAGAGAGAGATAAGCTAATTAATAAAAGGTATCTGTTGAGCTTTGCCATATGAGAATGAAAATGCAAAATGAATGACCTGATTTTGCACATTGATGCAGATGGTATAAAAGACAGAAATTATAATTATAATTTGAAGTTTTATGTCATTATAATGTCGTGCTAGACAGCAGTACAACAGAATTTTAAAGACACTTCCTGAGTAAAATGCATGAAAAACAGAGTCTATCAGGACCTTGCAAAAATAGTAAGTCTATAAAAAGACATTGAAAAAGTCAAAAATTCTATGGAAGATATTCTCAAAGGGTGAACAATAGAACAAAATACATTTTTAAAAAGTTATAAAGTTAACAATAGTTCATTTGAAGATTAAAAAATAAAAATCTGTAAACAGTTGGTGTCAAAGTAAAAAGTGTAGCAACACAGACGGGCAGATAACAATAGCAAAGTAAAAAAATATCTGTCGTTTTATTTTCATTTGTTTTTAATTGCTGTTTTGTTTTTTTAATTTCCAAATTAAAAGTCACTGTTTAAAACGCATGGTGTTAGAGCTTGAACCCACTGACTAATAAACTGAGAACAAAATAAAATGATGGACATAACCGAGTCTTGCAGCCACTCACTTGCCAGTGCAGGTACCCTCCACTTCTGTGAAAAGCTTCTGCTTCACGGTATTGAGGAGATTAGGACCAAAATACCTCGGATGTAGTAAGATTTCATGTTCCAAAGAAATCTGTGAACACACACGACATGTGCATTATCAGACAGCGTTACGTCTATATTGTTGTTTTACGTTATTGTGAATGCGATCGTACAGGTTCTCAAGATGATCAAACACAAGAGGGAATGGCTGCATTTTCCTACATAAAACAACAACACCACCACGTTAAGATTAGGATTCGGAAAAGTTCTGTAATGCTGCATTAGCCGTCATAATGCTAGGAAAACACTGATAAACACAACACCCATGCGCTGCTGTAGCTGCTCCATATTCGGAGAATAATACAAATACTCACATGGTAGAACATATTTTCCGTGATATTCAATCCCGCCTTAATTAATATTTTCGTTTTGAATTATTATCCAAAACGTTTTCACTTATTGAATGAAAACCTGTCGCTCGTTTGATCGCAACAAAGTCTCTTCCGGGTCAAGGGTTGGTTATGGCATTACCGCCCTCGGTTTTGTCTCACAGGTGAGAAGTTTTCACAAAACTCAGCTCTGTTATTCTAAAAAATTAATTACTTATATTCTTTTTTATTTGTGGGGCTAAAATAAGCTTTAAACTGCATGTTTTGGGATCATAAATGCCGCAGGGCAGGTATGGTGACACGGTGAGTCCACCGGCAGGCTGCCTCCTGGCGGTGAGGAGGGACGGAGCAGGGGGCGGGGCTAGACAGAGGCGTCACTCAGGGCTGCTCTTTGATTGGACTGTTAACATCTGACATCCCAACCAGGCACAACAGCACGACGGAAGGTAAATGGTAAACATTGTCCTGCTTGTTATAGTTTACAACGACTACTTTCACGAGACTCGAGTAACTCACCACAACTGACTGAAAGCTACATACAGGTATATATACTTTATTTTTCGCGACATTACAAGCTGACAAGGATTTGTCTGACTTCCTTAATCGCTCCGAGAAGACTGGAAACTATCCCAACTGACTGGAGCTATAATTAATCTGAAACCTCGTCTCAGCATGGCGAGTAACCTCGTCTCGAAGCTGCTCCGTCCGCCATTCCTCACACAATTTGTAAGTTGAGTGCTTGCTTTTTTTCACATTTCTACACTTTAGTCCTGTTTCTGCATGACTCATGTGGCTCTCCATGCAGTCGTCCCTCCGGTCAGGCTGCTTGCCCCGGGGACAGGCGGCGGCGGTGGCGACGGGGACCAGACACTCCTCCAGCGACGCTCCTCCGGAGAAAATCAGCCGCTATCCAGTTCCTTACAAGAAAGACTTACCTTATGATATTGTGGAGCTCATGGAGGAAGTGGAGTCAAAGGTTTTTAAACAGAAAAGTAGATATGTCAGAAATTTCCAACTAGTATTACTACACTGCTGACCTCTAAAGTTTTCTTCCAGGGAGGCTTTTTGCCCAATGTCTTCAAAGTCCTCTCTCACAGGCCATCAGAGTTCAGAGCCTTCTTCGCCTACTACAGCGAGCTGATGAACAAAGAGACAGGTGTGTTTGGTGGATTTATCTATAGTGGCTGAAAGTGCATAGAGATCAAGGCTCAAAGTCCCCAAAAAAGCATAAATATCTATAATTCCCAAGGGCCCTGGTGTGACAGGAGCAAAGGGGAGTGTGTTGCAATAACGACACATTGGTTTGAATACTTTGGGACTGAAAGTCACACAGGTGTGAAAACACTTGAGGCTCAAGGCATGAAACCATAGAATATATATACTTAAAATTGCATTACACATTGCTGTGGTAAATGAGCTGCTGGTCACTTATTGTGCAATACAGACACATGATTTGCTTGCTTATCAGGATAAATAAAGAAAACAAAACTGTCTTGAAAAAGTGTAATCCTGCTGGCACTGGGTTCAATAAATCATTCACACCTAACCTGCCATTTTAGGCCTCAGTTTTTTTTCTGTGACTGCACCCAGTTGTGTTGTGTTTACGTGCTGCATGTTAGCAGCAGCTGTTGCGAGGTGATCCTCTCTGGAGTGCAGGTTGTGCATGAGGAAGCAGGTGTGATGCTGAATCTGTTCCAGCTGATGAACCAACAATAGCAGATAAATATGATACATCAGGTCAAGCAGAAACAGTTTCCGTCGTTCACGTCAGCTTAAGTACCGTCGGCTGCTCTGAGTGGAAGTTGATTGAACTGACTTACTGAGTTTGTGCTGGATGTTAACCAAGAACGCCACAGCCAGACAAATCCAGCAGAACTGGTTTAGCGTGGTAATATATCAGTAAGTTTCTTCAAAAAGAAATACATGAGTAAAGTCATATAAACTGCAAGGTGATGATTTGTTCGTACTAGGTCGGCATAATAAGAAGGAAATTGTAACTGTATAATAATAACTTTATATAGAAATAGGTTTATTTATCTAGCAGCTTTAAAAACAAGGGTTTAAAATAGTTTAAAGCTAAAGCAGAACACCCAGAAGGCAACATAACAAGAATTTAGTTAAAACAAGATGACCAACATAAAAAGGCAAAATGCAATATGTCAATATTAAAATGTCAAATTACTTTAATTTATATGGCACATTTCAAGCAACAGCTGTAGAGCCAAAGTGATTTTCAGTAGAGAAATAGGATTGCCGTTATGGTTTGACCTAAAAAGCAAAAAGGTTATCACCCCACAGTATTACTTATTATGTAAAAATACCTGAGTAAGTTAAATATTAGAGTTAACACCCTACAATATTGTCTAAAATATAAATTTAGCAGACTATATTCAATATTAAGGTTGAGATAAATTTGTTGAAACAGATATGTGAAATATTAATATTAGGTTTTTTATTGTGGTGCAGTTCACTTTATCGGGTTTAAAAAGATGCTTGTTTTCATTTTATGAGAAGCGATGTACTGTTAGTCAAAGGTGACATGAATCCTGAGCCGAGATTGATTGAGAAGCAGTAGCTTGGACAATGGACAGAGCACCAGATCATCGTGTTTCAGTTTTGCATAAAAGTTAAAAAGTACCCTTAATGTGAGGCTATATTAACCAGATGAAGGGCTTGATGTGCCCCACTGCATCTCAGCTGTCTAATATTTGACTTCCCAGACCCAGACTTTGCCAAATCCAGCTGTGTCTAGCTATAATATAACGACGGCGTGACGTTTTATTGTGACGTGTTGCTCTGTTGGCATTAAACATTTATCAGTTCTGAGCAAAATCTATCCAGAACAACAAAATGCACAACGGCTTTAGAATTTTTATAGAAGTGAATCAAAGCTTGTCTTCTTGCTTCTTGTGCATGTGATTGTTGTGGTTTCTGGTTAGTTTTTGATATTCTGGCAACTTCCTGTTTATGAGGGTTGTATTCCAAAAAGCAGCTTTACTGATTTAATGTATAACTTTATTTTGACCTTTTAACTTGAGAAGAATCCATTCAAATCTGTTAAATGGGAGCATGTAAAAAAAAAAAAAACAACAACAACTCCTGAGCGTAGTAGCTTTTCTTATTGTCATATTATTTAGTTGGGGTTTAAAAAAGCATTTTCAGCTTTACACCTAAGTTCCTAACTTTTTGCAGTGTCTATCACAGTGCATCTCAAAAAGAGATTTCTAATTTTCTCCACTGTCACTGACATGAAACGCTCACACTAAGTCTCTTTTCCCTGAACAGCATCGTGTGTTTAGGCTACAGCAGGCTTTCATGCTGTGTGTTTTTTGTTCTTCTATTGTCTGAATATGCAACATGTTCTCCTCCTGTCACATTGAATTCATGTTTATTGTCTTCCAGGCAGATTAACCAAAGCAGATCGTGAACTGATCGTAGTGGCGACCAGTATCCACAACAAGTGTCTTTACTGTGTGGTGTCCCACGGTGCGCTGCACCGCATCTACTCCAAGAAACCCACTCTTTCTGATCAGGTATAATCTAATTGATTGATTGCCTCCGCTTTACTTCTTATAATGAATAATTACTGTTGGCGTGAACAATTGTAGTGAAGGTATACATGCAGAAATCACATTCAATTCAATGTATTTGTATAGCGCAGTTTACAACACACGTTATCACACAGCGCTTAACAAAGTAAGGTATAGACCTTACAAATATCTCATTGTGGGATGAAAAGTGGTAATACTGGGTTATTTTTGTCACCTACAATCACAATTCTCAACACAATTGTGTGCATTGGAATTTACAGGTAATATTTATTCTACGTGTGGATACAATTTGCTCAGAATACATTTCACTTTGTGTTTTGAATGGGAAAAAACATATTCAACTATTATTTTTTCATGTTTTTTGCAGAATGCATTAACTGCACATATGCTTTTCAGTTAATCACATTTTCACATCTGTATATTTCTGTTTTGTTTGCATATGTTGTGTTTTACTTGTGTGTTTTCCTGAGTTGCTATAAAGCATTCAGAGCTGCAGAATATATATTTTCTCCACTCTGTCTAATCAGCCCTCTCTCTACTTTCCTTCAGGTCGTTGTTAACTATGAGAACGCGGAACTGGCCCCTCGAGAGCGAGCCATGCTGGACTTTGCAATGGCAGTGTGCCGCTGCGACACCATCACAGAGAAGCACTTTGAGTCTCTGGAGGAAGTTGGCTTTGACCGCGAGGATGCCTGGGACATTGCTGCCATAGTGGCTTTCTTTGCCATGTCCAACCGACTCGCACACCTCACCGACATGAGGCCAAACCAAGAATTTTTTAACATGGGCCGTATGCCACGGGACAAGAGCAAGGACAAGGCAGGAGATGGCAAGTGAAACAAAAGTGGAGTTAAAGGTGAGATTATCAAATGTCAAAGATCATATGAGACCCATCTGCACAAAATCAGTCGCATTGCACCTTGGGCTATTATGCGTAAACAAAAGTGCCATGTTGCTACCACATTACACAAATCACAGGACAGGACTGGCTGGCAGTGACACATTGCTTGCGGCACCTGCGCACAAGGGATTTACGTGGCTTCTTTCTGGTGTTACCGCTCATGCACGCTGACAGTATGTGACAGCAATATGGAGCGAAGTATTATTACGCCCTGTAATATTACATACTACCTACATGTAGAAAACAACTAAATGGACCGATCTAAGTAATAAACTCAAAATCATTATTTTATCATGTGTTAACGTAATTCAGGCTGTATCTCGGATATAGCCCAAGGCACACTGCGACTGATTTCATGCAGATGGGTCACATATGTGACACTGACAGTATGTTCACTCTGCAGCAAAAAAATATCTCAGTCCTTTTTTATGTTCTTATCTTTCCCTGTCATGTGAACGATCAGATGTTTTCTGATGTATGGTGAAATAAGATGCAATATCAGATCTATGGGTTTGCAACCCTAAAAGCGAATACATTTGAATGTTAACAACTGCAACTACTGAATGACTACAACTACAAACTAACATGGAAACAAAGTGAGACAACAGATGTTAATATTTTAGTAAATGTTCAAAATCAATCAGAAGTCTCACATTGTATCCAAAGTGTTTTTAAAAAAACCTGCAGGATTGTTTGATGTTACAGCCTTCCACTGTAAACATAACCCTAAACATGTTACTGTCTTTATAATCCTTACTTGTACAATATACAGCATGAGAAAGACTCCAGATTTTAAAGACTTAAAAGAGACAATCTGAGTTTGTGACATGTATACCGTACCCTTATGTATGTGTGTTGTGGGAGCAGTCATGGATTATTTGGTGACTTCATTTAAACAATTTGCCACTGTGTTTAAATGTAGCCATAATGTCTGTTTATTTAGATGTTTTAAATTGTAGGTGGTTCACTTGACACTTTAAGCTGTGTAAGATTTAGTTGCGAAGTGTAACTGAAAAGTGCTTTCCTGAGTCGTTCCTGTGTCTTCTAAATAAAACGAATAAAAACATCAAAATTCTTTATACTTAAGATTTAACACTATGTTTCAACTTTGTGGCTGAAATAAAAAAAATAAGACAGTAATTTACTTTGAGAATAATTGATTTATTAGGGAATTATCAGCATCACTGTCCCTTGAAGAAAAGACATCATCAATCTTGATGAAGTGCTGCGTATCACCACCTGATGGCACCATATGCGTACACATGCTGGGTTTAAGTTACTGGATCAGTAGGTAAAATATTAAATATGATCATGTATCCGATAAGAGCTACAGATGAGAGAGAGACCAGCCAAAGTAGCCAAACAGACATAAAGACTTTTTCTTCCAATTTCCAGTTAGACTGTGTAATCCAGATGAAGCTGAAACTTTACAGCAGTTGCTCCAAAGCCTTTAAAACATTGATCACACATGATGGGTGAAAATCGTAGCTGTTATTTCCACTGGTAATGGGATGAATCACTGTTCCTGATCTAAGTTCTGTGTTTATTTCCCATCCAAAGTGATACATGTCAAACATGACTCCAGGCGTCACCCGTAGATTTGCTTTGGTGTGCATGCGAGTTTTCTTATGCATTGAAAAAAAAAGGGATGTGTGAACAAAGCTCTCATGAAAAACTGAAGTCACTTCAAATAGTCACAAATTGTGTGTCAGTATTATGGGAATCTGAAAGTCCTTCAGAGTCTGAAAGTCATCCAAACGGATGTTTACTGCTGTGCAGTGGGATTCTTCAGGTGCACATTCACATTTAATTTCTGTGCCAGAGCATGAGACACATTGTTAAACCATGTGAAAGTGAATCCATTGATGTTAGTAAAGGTCATTGCACAGATGGCTCTCTCCCTGGGCTTGTCCTGTCCTGTACTTATTGCCTTGATAAAGTGTCGTATGTCTAAGAGACGGCTCATGTACTATTACAGTTCCTCATTAAGCACCAACCCTTGTGACCTCGACGTCTCCTACCACTATTAAAGGGAGACAACAGGCTCCAGACAAGGCTAATTTATAGTCTGCAGCTGCCCTGCATCAAATATGTTGTAACATGGAATAGAATAGAATAGAATAGAATAGAATAGAATAGAATAGAATAGCATAATTTCTGAGAAATACTGTTTTTTGGGATTGATCACATGAAAACAAGGTTAAAAACTCTCTGATTGAAGCTTTCATACATTGCCTTTTGTAGTCTGTTCAATGATGGAGGAATCAATAAGGTTTTATACCAACTGTAATCTGGAAGGGGAGCCTGGGAAGACTTTGTGCTGTGTCTTTATTCCCCTGAAAGGGATAAAACAAGTGAAAACACACGTCAAATGGGGTATGACAAAGAGCAGGAGAAAAGAAAGTGAAAGAGCAGTGAGGCTGCAGGTCAAGTATTTTGTTTTATTTTATTTTATTTTAAAGGTGAACACCAGTAAAGTGGAAATAATTCATGAAACTTACTACTTCCATGTGGACAGTTTGTAAACGGGGGCCTACAGTTATAAGGTCCATGTTCACAACATGAAAAATCCTGCTTGACACAACTGCATGAACACAAAGGACTCATAAACCTGAGAGATAATGAACAAAACGTGAAACATTCAACCACACATATGAGGTATGGTTGGATGAGTAGTCATTTCAGTGCACAGAAAATGTAAAATATGTACAAGTTCCATGACATTAAGGCAACTCTGTCTGCTTTGGAAGTTTGTCATACAATTGAATTGTTTTGTCAGCTTCTGTTGCAGATGTACTTTTCTTCAAGATGGCCATGATCATGTCAACATTAATATTTGGTTTGAGATAAAGAAGCATTTTTTCTGATGGTTAAAAATGCTGATATGAACTGCAGTGTTCAATGTCAGCTGACTTGCTGCTTTGATATGTGAAGCTATTTAAATCTTAAGATTGGACTTTGGTCTCAGCTGCTTTTCACTGATTGTGGTTAAAACAGTCAGTGAAATAAATAAAATAAGGTTTTCTAGGAAGACAATTTTAGCTGCTGGCTGCTGAACACATCTCTAGAATTTTACAAATATAGGAAAAAATATACATGAACCGTTTTAACAATACGTGACAAATTATTATAGCATAACATTCCTGTACTGATACTTAATTCTTGTATTTCACCAAGCATTCACTGATGTAAATCTGCCATCTTTTTGTGCGTGTCCAAACTTTATGCTATTAGACTCAACACACAGCTCGAGGAGAAATAAGAAGGGTAGTTTTGGAAGAAATCGTCTCTCATCTTTAATCCTTCTGTTGCATGTTCAGGCAAACATGTCCACTTTATTTAACACAACTGTGAACGCTGTCGGACTGCTCTTCCATTTTTTCAGATATTTAGAGGAGGAGGGTAAAAAATACAAAGTGGGACAAATTAATTGACGTAAATATAGAGATTTGTTTTTAACCCTGCAATGTGAGTTCAGTTTTTCTTCATTTTCTGATGCTCTCATCACACTGTTCTAGCAGTCTATACACAGTTTACTTGTAACTTCAAATTCTATGCCTGTGCGTTTCTGCCAGATCGTCAACAGTGCACCTCACACAGTGAAGCAGTGTATGGAGAGATAAGGTATAAGGTAAACAGCAATAACCTTCACAGTCTGGATTCAATGTGGCAGAAGATATTTGTACAGTTAGCAGGAAAAATAGACGGCTTTAGGAAGCGACGGGTGCTGCATGCCAGTACACAATGTCAATCAGGTGTCTGTAATGCTGTGGCTGATGAGTGTATATGCATGTTTCTTGTTCTTTTGGGTATCATCCCATTAAACATTGACAAAGCCGTTTTAGTTTTATACATGTATTTTCAGTGCAGTGACAACAGATCAAAAAATCTGTAATAATCAATGTTTTACATTTACAGACGCATTTTAATTCCGAACACAGATAAGCATTTGAATCTGTGAGATCACAACAACCTTAATCACTCAAAAGAAATAACGTTTTTGGTTTGTTTGTTTTTTTTAAGTGTTATGAATATACTAGTAGAATAATACCATGACCAATGTTTTGAATATTCTCCTACAGTCCCTACAGTGCTTTCTGATAAAAAAAATGAATAAACAAAAATACAAAAAATACCTATAGACAGATAACAAATTAAAGGAAAAAAACAACATAAATTGTCTTAATAATGCATTAGGCCACCACGTGACGTTTTAATGCTCCTTGACAATAGTTACAAAAATCTCTGCAATTCTGCAGGATAAACTAGTGACTACTGGTAAAACATAATCCATAAAACAACAACAACAGAACATAATGCCTTAAAACCATTCAGTGACCCCTTGTGCCCCACAGAGAACCTTCCCTCGAAGGGGACAAATGGGCCCAAACCATGTCAGAAAAATGCCTCCTGCAGCAAAACAGAGCAGCTGGATCCCCTCACTATTGGAGTTAAGCATCCATGTTTTTTCCTTTAGTTTGTCACCTGTCTGCATTCATCTTTTTGAATCTTGGTTTGAGCTCCTGCCCACAGGGTTTGTTATAAAATAATTAAACTGGTGAATAACAAATCATGATTGCAAGAAAATGTGGTTACAAATGAACGGGGGAATGTAGTAACTCTTGCAAACTAATGGGCCTTTCCTTTAAATCAGATGCTCTATTTCCACACAAGAGATGCGCTTGCTCTGTGTGACTCAGTGAAGAGAATACGTACGGGCAGAAGGACTGAATCCTAACCAAGCGAGTACATATGGCACATTAGCAAATGGAAAGACACAAGGAGGAGACCATTATCGTCCTTGTTAAGATCGTGTCAGTTGCTATTAGGAATATGTGTGAGCATGCATGTGAGTAACTCTCCATATGCACATACAGTGCTTCCTCTAGCAGAGTGTGTGTGTGTGTGTGTGTGTGTGTGTGTGTGTGTGTGTGTGTGTGTTTATGTATGTGTGTGCTTTGAGTAAGGCTTTGCAGCTGGGGTCATTTGCATTAGTTTGGTGTGATGGAATTTTACATGTAACAGCTTCTTGTCCCTGATCTGGGAGCCTTAATCCCTACAGATTCATCAGAGGTACGACATGCACCCCCGTTCCACAGCTGTTAAACGGAGACAACGAGAAGCAAAAAAAGCAGCACGTCTTTCAAAAATAGGTTATCGGGAAGCAGATTTTGGTGAATATACATGTACACTGGCAACACTGTAGGTGTCAAGGATGCACCCTGAAATGCAAACGATTGGTTGCGGCTTCACCTTTTTAGTAAATAATGACAATAAAAGTCTGGTTGTAGTGTCAGTCGAGTGAAAAAAATATCTGACTTAATAAAATGAAATAACAGAGAAAGATAAGCAAATGAACCAAAGAACTGTAACGAGTGCCATGAATTTTCAATGAAAGATTGTACATGATTATTCCTAATAATATCACCTCCAAGCCATGTCATGTGTCACATTCCAAGTACATAAGGGTTGATTTCACTCAGCATCTCCAGGAAGTAACAAGATATTTGTAGTAACTTGTAAAATCTCTGACTTGTTGAGAGCAAACATTCAAAGTGTAAGAAATGAATAAATTTAGATGCTGGCAAGGAAGCGTGACGCAAGATAGGTACAACGGAAAAGTCAATTTGCACATCCAAAATGTGATTGGGGAGCAGTCGACCTGTCATAGCAGCTGTCACCGAATGCACCGCGATGATAGAAGTCACTGAAGTGTGAAAAATGTGGCAGCAGGCAAAAGAAACTCCAAAGTGAGAATAAGAACAAGTTACATGCTTGATATCTGCCAAGAGAGGGGTCAAACTCAACACTAGAACCGCACTTACCCACTAAATCAACTGTTGCAGATACTATCTACTGGTGGTCTGCAGCTGCTCGTCAGGCCTCAAAGCTCAGTGAAATACCTTCTTCTACTAATCATCAGACAAATGCTGATACATTGCATCTCCAGGCTGGAGCTTACTCATGACCTATTAGTCGAGCAGCAGTGGAAGTGTTTCAGATTAGACCGTTCCAGACTGATAATCCAAATGCACATTTACTCAGATTACTTCATGTGCCTGCGGATTATGGGTCCAGCATCACCTCGTGTTTATTGCAGAAAAAGTGTGATTCATGCTTGTGCTGCTGCTGTTTGTTCT